CAACATGCATTTTACACACAGGTACTGGCAGAGTCAGGCAGGAACCCCCTTCACACACATTCAGACAGAGCACTCTGTGGAGAGAGAGACAGCTGTGAAGAGACAGCTTTAACACCAATCTCCCAGCAGAACACTGTGCTCTGAAGAAAAGGATTTTCATCTCAAGTCACAATATTTTATCCTTAGTTGCAAAATCCTGAGAAGCAGTTGCTCTGTTTGCCTAATCTACGCGCCCACTTGCACTTTTGGAATTCTGCTGTGCTTTTTTTTTGATGTGATGAGACACTTTAACCACACACATGCTGCTCATTTCAGCACAGCTCCAAGAACAATATTCACTGTGACTGTATGAATCAAGGGTGAGTGAAAAGATATATGTAACAGTGGAGAGCCATCTAATCAGTGGATTCAATTATTTATTTTTTCAGTTATTTTATATATATGTATGTATAAGTCCAAGCCACACTATTACTGGTTAACCCACACAGTGTCTCAATCAAAGTCACTTATAGGAATCTATACACCCAAAATATATCAGCCATGCTGAATTACGCCTTCCACTGTCTTATTCATTTAACTGGGAGTGTCTGACTAGTCAATGTATTAAAACACAGCACAATAAATTATGTTCTACATATAAATATTAAAACAAACCTCATATCTTTTGTTGAAAGCACCTTGAGCATAAAAATAATTGGACATTAAGCATTTTCGCGACAAAAAAACAGACTGTGCCGACCGTATCGGATGTGCACGTTGCATTTGTAAACTGCTGTCCTGATCATGGATATGCACAGACACAAAAGGCCTGGTTATTGTATATAGGTCGGAATAAGCAATGCAGTAGGCAAACTGCGGCACGTGTTGCCATGGCGATGCAGTCATTAATGCCATTTTATTATTTCAAATGACCGGCCACTGCAGAAGGGAAGTCATGATTCAACTGTTAGCACGATGTTTAGATCCCTCCTGACGTTGGGTTCCATCAATAAGGTTTACTTCTTCAGAATAACGGGCACTTAAAATAAAAACAACAAAATACAATCTGGGAGTTTAGAGCATGAATCTCCTTCCTCAGTTTCTCTCTCTCTCTCCACTCTCACTCTAAGTGACAAAAATCATGTTTTTTTTACATTTATATAATTATTCTCTTCACACACAAACAAAAGAACACCATACAAACCTTT